TAATCGGAATCAAAGAAATACAAGTCAATTTTCTTTATTCTTTTCTTTACAATTTTTCCTACATACAAAAGATGGCGACTCTGCTGGGGACTAGCTTCTCTGACGAAGAAGTGGTGGTGCAATCCGATGTTCATCTCACTGGAACAACCGTCGAAACTCTCGTGGTAGAGTTCGATCAAGCCAAGTTCGAAGAGACCCTCTCTTTTGGATCCCTTAGCCCCAAGGCCAAGCGTGGTGTCCGCAAGATCTCAAAGGAGGTCAAATCTGTTGTTGAAACGCCAAAGAAAGTCCTCTCCTTTGGCCAAAATTCGTCGAACAGCCCCTCCGCTCCAGGAGCGGGCTCGACCTCTGCTGAACTCGCACAGCGAGTTGAATATCCCACCTCCGCGTCAACACGACGTGCCACAGGCCTTAAACGGCCTATAAAGGAGACGAGCTCCATAAACGTCAACGACGCTGCTGCTAAGGCTTTGAAACAGGCCAAGAAGAATGCTGCTCGTCGAAGAAGAAGGTCTCAGCGACGAGCACAACTTCGAGAAAATCGATCCTCCAACCAACGCGAACTTCGCATTCGTGAGCCTGAACGCGACCCTGAACTCCGCGTTTATGAGCCCAAACATGAGCTTCGCGAGAACCAGACTGAACGCGGCCCTCAATGGCGCGTTTTACAGCCAAAACGCGGACCTCAAGCCTTCGTTGAACGCGAACTTCAACTTCGCGTTTCCAAGTCAAAACACGACCCTCGCGTCGACAATGAAGAACGCGACCCTCATGTCGCCAAACCAAAACGTGACCTTCGCGTTTCAAGTGCCAGACGTGACCCTCACGTTTCAAGTGCCGAACGCGACCTTCACGTTTCAAATGTCGAACGCGACCTTCGCGTTTCAAATGCCAAACGCGACCCTCGCGTCCCAAGTTCCAAATCCAATACCGCGCCTGGTGTATATCGTGGAGCTTCGGGTCGCGTTTCAAATGCCAAACGCGACCCTCGCGTCCCAAGTTCCAAATCCAATACCGCGCCTGGTGTATACCGTGGAGCGACTAGGTTGAGGGGCGGATATAAGAAGTTTATGGATTCAAGGCATCTCAACCAGATCCATATTCACCAAGAGCCAGTCCTGTCCAATCATGGACTGGGGGTTCCAGTTCAAACCTCACAATCAGTGAGTAATTCTCCTCGAATCTTTATAACAGATTCGAGAGAGTTCACATTGAGAGAAAGATCGATGCAACAAGTCATTCGTTCATTTCAATGTGAACGACTGATTCCTACAGTCCTCTCAGGACGCCAATGCTGCTCATATGCGGCCCAACTGCTGGTGTTCAACCAATTTACGAATGTTGCTTTACTCAACCAACGACGGCGTTCACACAAGAAGAAGACTTCTGAGGATGAATACCTTAGAGTCACTTCTAACATGATCGGCAGAGGGAGATCATCAGTTCCTAGTT